ATTTCGCCCACGATTTTTGTTCTAATTACTTTTCCCATTTATTTTTCCTTCTTCTTCTTTTTCAAAAAAAATAAAAATAAATATAAAAAGAAAATAAAAATGGGAGTGGAGAGACAGATATATATATATATGTATATAAAAAAAAAAAAATAATAATAATAATAGAAGAATCAAATGAACACACAACCCGTATGAGATTTTGCGTATACGCGCGCGTATTCGCGAATACCCATACGTTCGTCTATTTTCAGAATGTAGGCCAATTAATTCCGCCACATTTTCGGCACGGCGGAAAAACGAAGACTTAGCAAATGTCACACGGAAATAGAAGCGCGGATAAATGTCCAAGAAGAGTACCGTGAGCGAGTTAACCGTACTGGCGCTCACTCTCACTCTCTCTCACTTTCTCTCTCTCTCTCTCTCTCTCTTTCTATCATTTACGTTCTTACACTCATTTTACAGTTCCTGTTCATTCGCGGGAGGGTTGGCACATCGGTGCATATCATTTAATAGGGAACATATGTTCAACCCGTTGATATTCTCTTGTATATGTTCCCAGTACCACCCTACACCCTTCTTGAATTTCCACTTTAAAACGTGATTCAATTAAAACTGCAACACCACAATTGCACTTTCATTCTCTTCTTTTTATCATTAATTTTTGATTTATTTTCAATCACAGGAATAATCATTTGATATTTGAATGAACGACGAAGACAATATTTCGCATTTAAGGGAAAACCATGTGAACTAATCTTTATATATATATAAAATTTCCCTGTCACAGGGTTTGAAGGAAAATTTCTCCGAAACGAGTTGACCAATTTTTATAAAATTGTTTTCTGAATATTCGGTAGGTGTGAGAATAGGATTTCATAATTTTTTTATACCCCTAAGTGATAAGGTTGATCCACCTTAATTATTTTTTCTTTAAAAGGTAAAACTAGTACTATATATATATATAGCAAACGTTATCATTCAAGGGATATAGGATAACAGGGATGATTATAAAGGGTGGTTTGAATAACGACAATCTTCCCTAAGCTTTCAGCATTGATGTTCGAAGTGAAACTAATAATCCGTAATACACACGAGAATGTGTATCACTTTGTTTTCGGAACAATCGTAATTCTAGCTGACGATGTTGCACTGAGAGAACGAACCCTCGTGTTACGGGCTGACTCGGTGCAACGTGGATGCATGCAGCATGGATGCAATCGCGTATTCATAACGATGGATAGTGGCAGCACGTGGTAGTAGTAGTAGTAGTAGTAGTAGTAAATGTAGCAGATGAGAAACCGTTGAACCACGATGACGTTTATACCCAGCATGGGCGTAATACGTGAGATAATATTAACGATACGATATATGTTGTTTCTAATCGATTAGAAGGAAGCTTTATCGAGTTCTCTCTCAAATATGTTAGAATAAAACAAAGTTACTTACTTGATAATATAAATGTAACAACTTGACATTTATATATTTCTAATAAGTAGTTTTTGAATTAAATTAAAAGATTATTTTCATCCCATTATCTTTCTTAACACGTTCGCTCGCCCATTTCGTTTCGGTTGAGTTTCTCGCCAGGCCCAAAATTCGACTGTCGGCGTGCCGTAACGTTAAGAAGAATATTTTTTTATTTATCAAAAATAATAAAATATAAAACTATCTTTTATTTCTTGAAAATCATTTTCTTTCGAAATGGTAAATGTGATAAGTTTTTCCAACTAAAAATACTATAACTTGAACAAGAAGAGCGTCACCGTATACGGTGACGGTTCCCCCGGAGAAGCATGCCTGTCTCCGATATACAGTACCATGGCGACGAACGTGTTCAAGATTTGACACAAATATATTGTTACATTTATTTCTAAATAAAAATATAAAAACATGTTAGAGTTATATGCAATGACGTAGTAGTAGTAGTAGTAGTACAATAACACAACTAATAACACAGCCAAAGTATACATATGTAATAGAAAAGGATAGGCACTAGATACAGAAATCCCTAGCTCATAGTGTGTTCAGTATGCAAGAGAGAATACCCAAGCTTTCCGATAATCGTGCCGGGGACAATCGTCGTCACTCGACACGACGACGAGGAGGATGAGGAGGTGAAGCAGCTATAGGAGGAGAAGAGAATCCGAGATACAGAAGGAAATCGACTCCGTTGCAAAACGATACGGATCACAAAATTCTCTCTCTCTCTCTCTCTCTCTTTCTCGTATTCACAAAGAAATAGAAATAAAGAGAAAGAGAAAGAGAAGTGGAGTTATCTGAAGAGAATAGGAAAAAGGGTAGGGGTAAGGATAGGATAAAAGAAGGGAACGATTAAAAGCAATTCTCCTTCCCTCTCTCTCTCTCTCTCTCTCTCTTTCTGATTCTCTTTCTCTCCCACGCGACAGGGACGTACCAAGCAGTCGAAATTGGCCGAGTAGTCAAGCGGAAAATCGGGCCGCGCCCCCTCGGCGTGGCTTTTGCCGCCTGAATAATTTATTCCGAAACGCCCGAACTGTGCCTTTGGCGACGTTGAACGACGACAGCGACAGTCTTTAAACTTCCTCCGCCTTTAAAATCTTCTATCTTTCTTTCTTTCTTTTTTTTTTTTTACTCTTTTAAACGTTCACTGACGAGTGAACTTATCCTCACAGAGAGAATAAGATAGTCCAAAAAGGGATCGACTTTTTAAGTTGAGAAATAGCAAAAAGGGGGGTAGAAAGTTTTACGTGAATGTTGTTTCGTAAATGTCAAAGATTATTCTAACAGGAAATCAAAGTTTGATGATTGAAGTAGAATAAGGCATAGAAATAAAGAACGAATCGATACTGAAGCTTAACTAAACTTGCTTACATTTGCAAAAAGAACAAAAAAACAAGCTTTTTCTCCAACCAAAACAGATAGATTTTTCTTCCAAATGTTATCGAAGATCGTTTTCGATTCTTACGAATTCATTGAATTTTATTTCAATTTTCCCTTTTGCCACATTGTTACCTATACACACATACATAGAAACATTTATCCGTCACAACGATTTTTTTTTCATACCTAAAAATAGGTGGAATATTGGTGCTTTATTTTTCTACGCGATTTGAATAAACCAAATGTGAATTGGAAAATAAAATGCAAATCATATCATGAAAATATTTCGAATTATTAAAATATTTGTTTTTTCTTTTTCTTTTTTTGTTTCGTTAAACTTTGAAGAATATTATTTTCTTTTTTCTGTTGATTCATTCCAATTTACATCCTCCTTTCCTACATTCGTGAGAGCTTAACGCGTATAACAGGGAATGTTACATCGCAGAAGCTCATGGGTGGCTATCTATAGAAACTGAGTGTAACCGTATAGAATCTTGATGTCACTCAAGGGTGACAAAACTCATTAATACTGATCTGCTTAATGCTCCGCCTCGTGTTCAGCATTAATCTGCTTAAAAATACCTGTTAGACTTACTCACACACCTACCCCCCGATTTTAGCTCATACCCCAACAGTCAACAGTTTTACTTTCGTATTATTTTGTGATTATTTGGCCAAATGTTCATTTTTATAAAATATATAAAATATAATATAAATGTATTATATATTTTATTTTATTATATATATATATATATATATAATAATTAATATATATTCTATTATATTTTATTATATATTTTATTATACTTATTATATTTTATTATATATATATAATTTATTATTTTTTGTTTTAATTCTATGCAATCGTCTAGACAAAAAAAAAACTATGTCATAGTTATGTGGTTTATGAAGAAATTCTTCGAATACAAAAAAAACCATAACATTTTTTTTTTTTTATCATATATTATGTTAGTCCTGTTATGTTCGATATGCAAACGCTTTTTTTTATATTTATTTTTTTATTTCTTACAAGCTTATACCGACAATACGTATTCACGTTGTATATGAATAAATGTATGTATGTGTGTGTAATATGTTGTATATATTTCTGTAGTCAGAAGTCTCACAAATTCTGCCTTATGTGAAGCAGATGTTCATAATCTTTTTTTACAGTAAGTCCCCGAGCATGATCATTATAAGCTTTCTTTTTATTTCATACAAAATATCATATCTCTCGTAGACGTCTAGAGTTTTGCCAAGTGAATTAAGTGAATTCTTCTTTTTTTTTTTTTTTTTTTTATTAAGTACTCTAGATTTTTTGAAGTTTTACAAGAAAATATGTATTTTTACTTATACCCTTTTATATAAATTGTATAAATATAAATTGTATACTTGAAGTATAACGTTTGATAGACACATAATTACAGTACTCTAGATGTTGAAGTTTTACGCGAAAAAATACATTTACTTACACCCTTTAAAGAATATATATATATATATACATACATCATGATATACCTATCTATAAATATATATATATATATATATATATAGGTATATGTATAATTGGTATTTTTTGCACTGTTTGCAATTGTTGGATTTTGGATTGGATTTTGCTCTCAAAATTACCTTTAAAAGGTTCATCAAAGTCGGAAATACGTCCCTGCACTTGGTTCATCTTTTAAGATCATATCTCCAGAACGGAATTTGACAAAGCAATTTCTGATTGCCCTATCAGTTATCAAGTCCTGCACTGTATAAGCTGCATATATTTTCAGTTGCCATTTTAGTGTTAATTACCTTGTTTCAATTCCTAAAGCATCTTCATGTCGAATATGCACTTTTCTAACTATTCCATTTCAGTGGTTTAAGAAAAAACGATTAAATGTAATCATTGACTGCATAAAAAAAGTTAACAGAAGATTAAACTGAATTCTCATCTATACAGTGATATCGAGAAAATCCGTTTGTTTCTGTGACTGACTTATAATAGGTAAATACGAAAAATTAGATTCTAGTTACTTATGACTCGACTTAATATATATTAAACGTGTCATTCGAGAATAGAAGTAACATTAGTCTTATTAAAAATTCCATGTCTTGTCAGATTTAAGAGTTCGAGACAGTGGAATACTACTTACCATTAATTGGTTGAAACCTTGCCAAGGGATCCGAGAATTGTCGAAGTCTGTCCGTCACGTATTGCGGTGATTCTCCGTTCTAAAAAAATCAACAAACAAAAAAACATAGAACAAAAACAAAATCGTCGTTTAACGTTCGATTATTCTATTATTTCTACATATGTACATACATACGCGTACATATACGTATATATATATATATATATATACGTTTTATTATTCTTATTATTATCAATGAGAATAAATGAGAGAGTAAAACAGAGAAAGATAAAACCAGAAGAGATTAAACAGACACGAATCGAAAATACTTCCATCGATGTAACTGAGAGAGAATGGTTAATGGTAAAGGGGAAGGGTGAGAGGGAGGGAGGGGGGGTGGTGGTGGTAGGATGAGGTGGAGATTATACGAAAATCTCCCTCGGTAATTTTGGTGTAGTGTTAGTGGTGTCACCGAACATAGATTTAAATTAAATCGAGTAGCTATATATTTCAGCATGCAATTACGTTGTTCGCCAAGTGCTGTTACCCAAAAAGCACGTGAACAAAAAAGTCAAAACTGTTCTGTAGGGTGAGGAGGGAAAGGGGGTGGGGGAGTTATATTATCTCCTGGTGTAATCTTTCAACGAATCGAGTATAAATTTTGGTAACTAAAAATTGTATATTCCAATTGGTGATATCCACGAATCCGAAAACCTGCAGGTTGGAAAGGGTGGAGTTGGAATTGAAAGTAAGGAAGAGTTGGTGGAATATTTTGAACTTTTTTTAAATTAATTGAACATTTTTGGTTTAATTTTATGTTAGTTTTTGTTGGACAAAATTATTTCACAGTTTGGGGTTTATGGTTTAACTTGATTCGTTCAAATAACTTAACTACGTGTTGATGGTACAATCTTAATGTATATAAATTATGTGTCACGTTGTTTGTCCGCAATGGACTCCTAAAGTACTGAACTGATTTTAATCAAATTTTACACATTGTGTGCAGTTTCATCCAACTTGAAAGATAGGATAGTTTATATCTTTATTTATAATCGCAATATTATTTGTTTATTAACAAATAGTCATGATTATCTCTGTTAATTCGATAAAATTCTAGCAGATGACGATATAAGGTAATTCGTTGACTTAAAGACGTGTGTATCGGACTGATTGCGAGTCACACTAACGCGTGTCAGGGCACCCCACCTCTAATATTAATTAAAAAAAAAAAAAAATGAAATTTGCATTAACAGTTGATTATCCCAGTTTTGTTTGTGATTTATCAACACTTTCTTTTTACTTTAGTCCAATAGTACACATCCACCCTTTTCTAGGAGAACATTTTTGTGATATTCTTTTCCTAGAAGTTGGTTTTGTTCTAAGAAAACTTTCCACCGTGAAATATTTTAACGATAGGGATAATAAAATTATTTTCACTCGTGTCAGACAGTTTTGTTATCTCCTACCGTTCGTTAGATGACAATAACGATGACTATGACGATAATGACGATTCTTAGAAGATCATTTATCCCTTTACTTGAAAATAAGTGGGCGGAAGAGATGAAGGAGGATAAGAAACAAGAGAAAAATGTTGTTGAATTTTGTTAGAAAAAAAAAAAATAAGAAAAATCAAAAAAAAATCTATTGGATGAGCTGACATAAATGTCGTCAAACGGATCCTCGTCAAACATTACGATCGACGAGAGACGTTTAAATATATTTTCGTCATTCTCTCTCTCTTTCTCATTCTCTCTCATTCTCTGTCACTCTCTCTCTCTCTCTCTCTCTCTCTTTCTATCTTTCTTGACCAAGATGTGGGGGGATATTAAAGACGGCGGATCGATATATACGTTTTCCTTCGTCGCTTTCATAATTCTGTCTCTTACTATTTCTCTGTTTCTCTCTTTTGAAAAGTACACCCCCCGATGTTGGGGTTAAAAATACTTTCATATAATTTACGAGACTTTAGCATTGAACGAGTGTCGTATAATATCGTCGTTAGAATAGGTGTCATCGTTTTTGTTACTACGAATATCATGGTTTTTATTCTTTTTTTCTTTTTTTTTTTTTTATTTACCATACACACACACACACACACACATATATCAACACCAATGATGATAATGATGATGATGAGGATAATGATTATAGTTATGAAATAATAATAGTTTTTATATTATATAGTATATTATTATAATAATTATTATTTATTAATTATTTAAATATTTATTAATATAATTTGGAATATATTAATATTGCAATTTTTTTAATTACAAGTTTCTTAAATGCATTTCATTGCATTCAAATATTATTATTTATAATAATAAATAATAGTCTTGAAATATTTCGTTAATTTAATTATTTAATAATAAATATTAAAATTATATTATTTTAATAATTATTATTATAATTTGGTATATATTAACATTGCAACTTTTTTAATTACACGTTTCTTAAATGCACTTCATTCGTTTTAAGATAAAATCAACTATAATTAATCTTGTTTCGTTTTATTTTAGTCAATTCATTTTTATCAAATCAATTTTATTAAACACGATCAATCAAATATAATTGATATTTCTTTTTAAATATAATCAGTCAGTTATTTAGATTTTAATTTCGAACAAGATTACATTTCTTAAATGAACCGGAGATTCATCCTCTTGAGCAAGCAATTTTCCACCTTAAATAAGTTTATTACGAAAATGTTGAAAATTAAACGTTACTTTATTGTAAAATTTCTCTCTTTTTTTTTTTTTTTTTTTTTTTTTTCTTTTATCAATATTATTACAAGACTTTCAATTAACTTTAATATCCAATTTAGCCGTTATATTCATAAACTTTAAAACTGTATCTAATAAAATGATGATGATGTTTCAATAATTAATGTAAACGAAATATTACTAGGAAGATTTTACATAAAAAAAAAAAAAAATAAATAAATAAATAAATAAAGAAAAAATGTGACGACAAGTTTCAGTGTTAGCTATTCTGATTTACATCCAGGAGCAGAGAAGTTATCATTCTCGAATTGATATCACGCTCTAAGAGAATAGTCGAAGTTTGAACCCTCGAAACTCTTGCTTGAAATTGGGTCATTGCGTGCACATCGAATTTAATCGAGTTGCATAGATGCGTACCCATCGTAATCGAGTCGCCTTTAGACATATATATATATATATATA